CCTGGGCAATGAAATTCTGTGCTGTCATCATAGCATGTGAGCCTCCGACTAAGGTAGAATATGTATTTCTGGCAAATCTTCAGAAAAGACTAATAGATCATTTGTGGACAACTGGGGAAGTTCCACCAACTGCTGCAATCACTGTGTCCTCTTCTCAGTAGCTGTCTCACAGGACCCAGCTCGTGCCCGGATGGCGCCACAGGAGGGAGCTGCAGGCACAGCACGCAGCTGACCTGTAGCTCACCAAGGGCCTGCAGCCGCAGCGAGCAGGGAGGCAAGATGCGTGTGGCTTTAGAGGTAAGCCAGCTGCTGTCTTGCCCGACGCATTCAATCTCTGGTCAGGCTACAGCCTTATGCCCTTGTCAAAGGGACAGAAAGGCGTCAGGACTCTGAGCGGCGTGCCAACAGTGCACCCAAAGCCCAACATTCTTGAGGCTGAGGCAGGAGGATTATCTGTGAGCTCCAGGCCAGCCTGGGCCACACAGCAAGACCCTGTCTCAAAAGGCCCACACGCCCTGCCCCAAATAACTGCATCCAAACCCAACTCGGCCGTCCCTCCTCTGCGTCAGCCCTGAACTACACAGCAAGACCCTATCTCAAAACTTTGCGGAACACTGTGGGCATGAAGGAGGGCTGACTTCACTCCAAGCCACGCATGTAAGTGAGAGAGGAAGCTACAAGTGCTCCTGCACCCTCGTGATATGCATCTGTCAGAAAATTCAGAGAGAGGGTGTGGGGAGCAGCTCAGCGGCAGAGGGAAGAGAAACGGAAAGACCCTCATGCAGCTACACACAAGATGGTACATTTTACACTCAGCCACGAGCCACCAAGAACGGACCATACAGCGACAGAGGTCCCTGAAAGGTTCCTGTCGCCTGTGGTGAACACACAGCTGGAGGACGCAAAAGGAAAGGTGAGTGCAGAGGAAGAAGCACCCCAGGAAGAGCCCCTTCAGAAGCCTGTCAACAGGGAACTCTGAAGGGTCAGTCTGCCTCCTGCACCCTGTTTCCACTTCACCTAGCATGTTTCTGGCTACCAAGCCCAGAGGCCCTGAGCACTTTTCTAAGTCCTCAGATGAGACATTCCCCATTTATAGTCAGGAATAAAAGCCAACTGGATGTTTAAAGCAAAAAGAAAATGTCTGAAAACACAGGGCCAGGAATGTAGCTCAGCAACAGAGCACTAGCCTGAACCATGTAGCAAAACAGCGAGATACTGTCTCAAAAAAAAAGAAGAGAAGGGAAAAAAAAAAGAGCCAACAAGTTAAAACTGAAACAGAGCACAGTGGCACATATCTGTAATCCCAGCTATTTGGAAGGCCAAGGCAGGAAGACTTACCAGTCCAAGGCGCAGCCTAGGCATGCTGGCCCTGTCTCAAAATAAAAGGTAAGAAAATAAAGGGCTAGGAGTATAGCTCGGTGGAAGAACACTTGTCTAGCATGCATGAGACACTGGGTTCAACCCCTAATACCACACATTTTAAAAAAGTAAGAAAACTGAGAAGTTTCCAAAGTAAAAGATTAAGGTTAAAAAAAAAAAAAGATTTGGGTAAGCTCAGGCTAATTCCTTATTGGAGGGAAACACTTTTAGTCAGTTCTATGTGACCTATAAAGTCTGGGTCAAACACCTGGGCCTTCATGTTCACTCATCCAAGGCAACCGCTGGTCCTGCGAGCTCCATTGAAGCTCTGCATCCCACACAGGTGTCCCAGCTTTGATCTTTTGGTACCTTTTCTAATCAACATGATGCTAGGTTTGGAACCCAGTGATGGAGACCACTACAAAGCAGCTCTGAGGATTTAGTATTTGCCAATTGGTTTTTCATGTTTACTTTTGAGTTTGTCCAAGGCCTAGGCCCCTTGTCTAGAGATGGGCAATGGACTCATAGTAAGTGAACCTCTATGAGTAACTGGTTCCAACTGACTGAGGCCCATAGTAGCCAGTGAAGCAAAGGACAAGACAAGGCCACAGCTAAGGACACCTGGCTCCAACCTCGAGTAACTACACAAAGACTGCAGCTGCAGGCATCTCACTCCTGGGTGAAGCCCTTGAGCGGACTTCCAAGGTCCTTGGATGGCTCTGCCATTCAAGGCAGGGTCCCACCTTTTTTTTTTTTTTTTTGTCTTTTTGAGAGAGGGTCTCAGCTGTCCAGTTCAGGCTGTCCTTGAGCTCTCTTTGTAGCCCAGGCTGTCCTCCAACTCACAATGATCCTCCTACTTCAACCTCCCAGGTGCTGGGATTATAGGCCAGGTATGTGTGTCACCACGCCCGGCCCACCTTTCTTCAGGATCCCCCCCTCACTTATTTTGATAACTAAACAAATACAGGCTGCCCAGAGATCTTTGTCTTAAACCCCAGAGAATCTTGAATTTCTTGAGTAGGTTTTTGATCCTCCTGGAACACTAAAATCATTTCATTTGTCTCTTTTATTTAACCTTTGCTGTCCATTTATTTGGGAGATAGCAACTAAGGGATAATATTAACCTGATAACCCAGGGCCAATGGGTGGCAGGCAAGTGCTCTACCCTGAGCCGCAGCCCCGGAGCCTTTTCTGCTGAGACAGCAAACACCTCCCCTGTGCCAGGTCCATGCCGGTATGCTCACGACGCTGCCATGCAACACTGCCTAACAGCTGGCTTCTCAGAATGTGACCCTGGCCACCAGCCACACGGAAGTATGTCTAAACGCCAAAGAAAGCTGAGTGCAGAATGACCCTGAGGCCCATAGTCTGTACAACAGCACGGTCAGCCCTGCAGTGGCCTGGAGGCGTCTTGTGGAGCGGAGGAAAGGGTCAGGAGTCACAGCCTAAAAGCCGTCTGTAGCTTGGCAGCCCCAGCTTTCCCTCTGGGTACCTGCGCTCCACCTCACCCAGCACCCCGAGCCCTGTCTGTCCTTCAGCCCTTGCTCGCCACCAACTCACTGAGCAGCAACCAGCAGCAAGCCCTCTTCCACGCTGCCCTCCGCAGACCTGCACGTACCTTCATGAAGGTCTCCCCGCGAGCAAGTCCACTCACGGTGCTACTCCTCAAGCTCATCCCAGGGGCTTTGCTTTCAGCTAACACAACTCACTATTCCGCCCAAGGTCTGCACATGCGCCCTCTGCTCACAGTCCTCCCAGAGGTGACATGCAGGCGATGTGTGGATGCACCCGACGCACTGGTGGCTGAGCACACCACTCAGAACCATGCTCAGCTCCAGGCACAGTCTGAGGCCCCAAGCGTCAGCTCTGCAGAGGTGGGCAAGCCCAGTGGGGGCTCTGCTCCAGGAATGGAGGCACCACTGGGACCCACCTTCTCAGAAAGCACCCTCGCCCCTTCTGCCCCTGGGACGTCTTCTACCCACCTCCCATGACTCCCCAAGGATGGTCAGTGAGCCCCTGTGCAGCTCATCTGCAGACTACATGGGAAACATTTCGTCAGCTCAAAGCCAGGTACTCTGGTAGGCTCTTGTCTATAGGGACTTCAATCCTCTTGCCCTCACGCCCCCTCCTGCCCACCCCCTCTTTGCCACAGCCACAAAAAGGCACCCCACGTCCCCGTGCAGAGCTCGAGGCAGGCTTTCACATATCCCAGAACTCCTTTTGCAGTGCCGGATAGAAGCGAGGGGAGTGCTCACCACTGAGCTGCACCGAGCTCTGCCAGTACTACTGCTACAGCTCTGGGGCTCGGCTGGCAGGTACCCCCCCGTTTTCTCCCCTTGCTTGGCTCCCTTCAGTCACACTCAGAACCCCGATGCTGCGTGCCAGCCCTCTGGGTATGCTTCCCTTTCAGCCACAGACAAGATCGTACTCTTTTGGAGCACACTAAAAGTAAACACTTCAACTATTTTATGTGCCTCACTCCTCCCAGCCTTCAGTGTCTCCCAAGTCTGTGGACACCGAGCTCCCAGATGACAGCTGGGACCAAATACATTCCCTTTAAAAGCCGTCAAGACTGAGGGTGCAGCCTCGGTGGCAGTGCGTGCTCAGCATGTGCAAGGTCCGCCTAGGTTCCAGCCCCAGGGACAACACAGAGATGGCAACGACTCAGAGATCTAAGTGGCAGATGCAGATGCCTACCTTTTCCAGCTCCACACCCCACACTCTCCAGCCCGGGCTGGGACAGCCTGAGAAGAGGAACTAGCCAGGTGGCCATCCTACTGCCCAGCAAAGCAACAAGCACCAGCGACAGAAGCACAGAAAGTCCTGAGCCTCAGACACTAAACCAGTGGGGCAGTGACCACCACGAGCCCAGCCTGGTACTCTACAGTCTGAACATTCCCTGGACTCACGTGCTGAAACCGATGCCTCCCGCTGCGGTGGCACTAAGGCGTGGTGCCTACTGGGAAGTGGCTCAGCCCTGAGCCCTGGCCCTTCCCGCCCTCGGGCCACAGGAAGACAGTGCTCCTCCTCCAGAGAACACGGAGAGCAGCCCTCGCACACCACACCCGCTGCGGCCTCCCACGGTGAGAACTGAACTTTTGCTGCTCAGAACTCACCCAGCCTGTGGACTGTCTTACAGCAGCAGACACGCCCCAGGATGCTGGCTTCTCAGCCCTGGGTTGCAAGGCAGAGCACCTTTCTAAACCTTCCCGGCCTGCATCTGCACTTCTCTCCAAGCACTAGTCAGAACCCTGGGATCTCACAGCCACTCCCAGCCCTCGTCTCAGCTCCCAAGGCTTCCGAACATCCAAACCCTTGCCATACTTGGCACAGGAGCTGCTCCTAACGCAGCTTTGCACCCGGGGCAGGGTGGCCTCAGCCCTGCACAGCACAACGCTTCTTCCGGCTTCTCGGGCCAGCACCCCAACCCCTAGAGCCCACACTGTCAGTCCTCTATGCCTGGGTCCCAAAGGTCCTTCCTTCTACCACTCACCTTGTCTATGCGGGAACAGCACATGATAAGGTGAGCCGGGGTCTCCTGGCTCCACACTTGCTACCCCTGGGAGTCCCAAAACACAAATGAGACGGTGCCAAAGCCCAAACAGCTGTGGCCCAGCCAGCCCAGGGCACCCCTCACTCACAAGGACAGCAACAAGGAGAAGCCGGCGATGTAGAGGTTCCTCTGGGCGCGGAAAAGCTTCATGTGGAAGTGCTCCATGGCACCGGGGTTGTTCTGCAGGTTCACCTTCTCCGTCACATCGTCGTACTTGCGGGTCTCACGGTACGCATCTGGGGCAGGGCAGGGCAGAGCAGAGGCAGTGGGAATGGGTGGCCTGCCCTCCCCTGTCCACTCACACCCTGTTATCTATACTTACGCCTTCCCCCTTGCTCCCCCTCTGCCTCATGCTTGGCGATGCCCACCCCTACATGGCTACAAGCTTGCTCTAGACTCCAAGACGCTCCAGCCATAAGGACAGCACCCTTCCCATGGTGCCCCCAAGCCAGGCCACCAGCCACCCCACTGGTAAGCCAAGGGTCCTGTTTGTGGAAATGCCTGCTTGGGAGCCCCGAGGGGCTTTTAGAGCAAGGGCTTCTATTCCTACAGTTTATGTCGGGCTTTGTTGTTTAGGTTTCTATTCAAATTAGAAAAAGAATTCAGAGTGTCGGCCCAGGGTGGGCTGAACTGAGGACATCTTCGGGAAGCCCGGTAAGTCTGGGCTCTGCCTCCCTGACCAGCGTGCAAGGCAGGCAAAGCCTCAGGCACCCTCTGGGGCCTCGGTGGCTAACCGCCACACCCACAGTGTGTCGGCAGGGGCTGGGCTGAACCTGGGACATCCTTGGGAAGCCCGGTCGGCTCTGCCTCCCTGACCAGCGTGCAAGGCAGGTGAAACCTCGGGCACCCCCCTGGGGCCTCAGTGGCTACCCATGATACCCATAGTGTGTGGGCCCGGGCTGGGCTGAACCCCAGACATCTTTAGGAAGCCCGGTGAGTCTGGGCTCTGCCTCCCTGACCAGCGTGCAAGGCAGGCAAAACCTCAGGCACCCTCTGGGGCCTAGGAGGTTCCCCACCACACCCATAGCATGTCTTCCGGGGCTGGGCTGAAATGACACCTTTAGGAACCCCGTGAGCTACTGTGGGGCCTCCCCCACTATGGTGTGAGGTACATGGATCCCTGGACAACTTCTGGGGCCTTGGTGGTCACTGCCAGAACAACTCACACCTCCCTGGTAGCTCAGCTGAAACCTGAACATAGTCAGCGGCCTCGGGAGCTCACCCTCACCCCTCCTCTTCCAGTGTGGGACGCAGGTTCTGGCCTGGGCAATATCTGAAGCCTCGGTGAACTCAGCCTGTATCCCCCTCTACTCTTGTGGAAGCTGGGCTGAACCCCAGACAGTCTCAGGAACACCAGTGAGCCTCCCCGGCCCCTCCCACACACTCCTGTGAGCCAACTGAATGCAAGAAAGGTCGGGAGCATCTGGGACTCCACCTTGCCACCACTCACCAGCACAGGAGCTACACTGAGCACTGGGGATCTTCAGACTATCGCCCTGCCACTCACACACATTAGGACAGTGAGACTGCAGTACAGGGAGTCTCTGGTTCTTCAAAACTGACAAAACGAAGGAGCAAAATGCAATCCCAGACCTCCACACCACCCAAAACAAGTCAAGGAGGCATCAACACAGAAGAGCCTGGAAGTCATACACCTGAAGTTTCTGAAATGATAGCAACTGTAGTAAAGAAACAACTCCCTCAGGCCATAGAAGACATCAGATCAGAAATAATGTCTCAGGTGAGAAAAGAAATGACAACAATAATGAAAGAAATGTGCAATATATCCAAAGATGACATAGACAAGAAAATAGAAGAGCAGAGACAACTCAATGAAACCTTCAGGGAACAATATAGAAGAGAACAAGAAGGTATGAAACAGATGCAAACAGATATCCAGGAACTTAAAAACTCCACTGAAAGCTTTGCAAAACCACCTGAATAAAGCTGAACATAGACTTTCAGACCTTGAAGACGGCATTGCCACTAATGAACATGAAAGGAGGGATCTCTTAAAAACAACAAGGAGTGGGGCTGGGGATTTAGCTCAGTGGCATAGCATCTGCCTGGCAAGCGCAAGGTCATGAGTTTGACTGCCGGTACTGGAAAACAAACAAACAAACAAAAAAAAACAACAACAAGGAGCCAGGAAATAACAATTCAACAACCGCAAGATGAAGCAAAGAGGAACAATGTCAGATTAATAGGTATTAATGAAAGAGCAGGTGCCAACACAAACGACATAAAAAGACTATTTGCAGAAACAATAGCAGAAAATTTCCCAGGCATGGTAAAAGAATCAGACATCGAGATAAGTGAAGCATATAGAACTGTAGTTAATCATAATCAGAATAAATCTACCCCCAGACATATAGAGATCAAGATCCCAGAAACTCAACAAAAGTTCAGAATATTAAAAGCTGTTAGAGAAAAGAAACAGATCACCTATAAAGGAAAGCCCATCAAAATCACGGCAGACTTCTCAACACAAACCATCAAGGCAAGAAGAGCCTGGAGTGAAGTATTTCAGGTACTGAAAGAAAACA